CAGAGAGGTGGCGTTTTCAAGCTGAAGAACGCCACCTCTCTGCTTCTAATTATAGATAATAATTATATTAATAATTATTTATTAAATAATATAATAAATAATAATTTTTAAATCAAAAAGAGATATAGAGAATGGTATTTTAGAGCACAGCAAATGTGACCTCTCTTATTTTATTTATTAAATGATATGATATACTATTTAAAATTTTTTTTATCAAATTATAACAAATAATTATTGAATTTAATATAATAAAATATTAAATTAATAACAGAGCAGAGAGGTGGCGTTTTCAAGCTGAAGAAATGCCACCTCTCTGCTTTCTAATTATTAGATAATAATATATATTAAAATAATATTAATTAAATAAATTATAATAAATAATTATTTAATTTTATAGAATAAAAATATTAAATCAATAACAGGGCAGAAAGGGTGGCATTTTCAAGTTGAAGAAAACACCACCTCTAGGCTTTTAAATTATTAGATGATAATATATATTAATAATTAATATAAATTAAATAAATTATAATAAATAATATTTATCTTAGATAAAAATGTTGAAAAAGGAAGAGAGGTGGCATTTTCAAGTTTGAAAACACCACCTCTCTTTATTTTCTTATTAAATAATGGATATACTAATTAAAATTATTAATTAAATAAATTATAATAAAATAATTATTTAATATCATAAAATAAAATATTAAAATTAATAATAGAGTAGAGAGTTGGCGTTTTCAATTAGAAACACCCACCTCTCTACTTTAATTATAAAAAAAATATTAATTTAATGAAAAAGAAGAGAGGCGGTATTTTTCCCTTTTTGAAACATCACCTCTTATTATTTATTAAAATTATAAGTAAAAAAATAATTTATAAGCGGTGGCATTTGAAATAAGAAATGCCACCTCTCTACTTCGACTTTAATTTTAGTAGCATTTCATTTTTTGTTGTTATAAAATGCATGTTACCAAATCTTATTTTTGTAGTAGTGATTACCATTGATGAGTCAATCAAACCTTCATGAATTTAGGTCAAAATATAAAAAAAAAAATTGAGTTAGGATTTGAAATAATAAGGGTTTGAAAGGATTTTAAATTATAAAGAAAATGAGGTAGAATTTAGATTTGAATTTGACCCAAATCCATACTTTTTAATTATCCAAACAATGAATTTAGCTCAAATCTAAATCCAAATCTATATGTATCCAAACATATATAGTATATTATAATTTTATTGATATGTTAGATTTTATATTGATATGTTTAGATTTTATCTAAAAGTACTTTATAATTTGGAATGAAGGGAATATAAGACATTGTTAACTAACTTACAGTCATTTAAAAAAGTTACTCTCTCCATTCTAAATTATAAGACACTTGTAGACAAAATTTTATATATTAATAAATCTCATTAAATACACTTAACAACCTTATCTTTCTAAAATAAAATATAAACTTTTAAAAATATCTATCATCTAATATATTGAAAAGAGAAGGGACAAAAATTAACTATAGAGAAAGAAAGGATAATATTGAAATTTATACATTTAATGAAATCTCAATCTACTCAAAGTGTCTTATATTTTGAAATGAAAAAAACTCCTTCAAAAGTGCTTTAAAATTTAAGATAAAGAGAGTAATTAGTATCTTGATTTTTTAAAAATATTCACATCTTTTCCATTTATGCCATTGAGTGGAATATTTAAACTATCATTATTAATTACATTGACATCATTAAAGAACGGATATAAATATTTAAAACATAAAATTTACCCAATACCTTACATTTTATATCAATCGATACTTCTAGAAAATGGTTTATATTATGGTTCGAAGGGAATATTATTTATTAAAAATTGAAAAATTAAAAATGGAGAGAGTTTTGGCACAAAAACCTGCCACAAGACAAGCAAATTGTAAAATGAATTGTGATAGAATTGACCAATCTCATACACTTATGATGTAAATTTTTTAACTACATGAGATATATTATATACAATTTTTCATTTAGATGTATTTTTAAAAAAAATTATGAAGAAGATAAATAAATAAGTTCGTCGGTTGATCTATTTAATCCATCAATATATGAGAGTTGAGCTGAGATTTTTTTTTAACTCATTTAAAAATGAGATAAACCTAACTCAACTCATAATATTATGATTGGCATATATTCCTACCTTTACGTGACATAGCCACACAGCACATCACCCTCCGTGTGCTTTTTGCCCACTTTCATTTCACTTCATTACACATTACAATTAAATAATGTTGCATGACCAAAAAAACAAAAAAACTCACGGATGCACAGAAATTTGGATTTTAAATTGAATTAAATTTCTATTTAAATACATAAAAGTGTATATCAGAATCCAAATTTATGATTCACTGTAACTTTTATAATTTCAAATTATTTCCAAATCATGATTATTTTAAACCCCATCTATCATAGCCCTCTCGTTTTCTATATATTTTTACTATCAGTGATTTTATTAGTCTTGTTACTCTCTTTATTTCTTGTTGTTGTCTCTCATCAATTAAAAATTAAAAGTAACACGTTGCTTTAATTTTTTACTTTTGTTTTGAATCTTAGTTTCGACTTTCTTTTACATTTTAAATATTTTTATACAACTCAAATAAAGAATATTAAAAATATAAATTTTAAATGTGAAATTTTAAATTTAAGATTTTGAATTTATAATTTAAATTCAAATTCATAAATCTAAGTGCTACCTAAAATAATTGTCCTTTCCATACACTCTTTTATCAATGAAATGATTGATAGTATTTAATTATATTGTTAGAAATTTAAGTATTAATTCTTTTTTTTTAATTCACCAACACTCTATTTATGCATCAAAAACGCACTGTTCAGTATTGATTATTTTTAACATATAAACGATAATCAACATAACATAAATATGATAATAATGTTTTGTATATTTACAGGTATCATCTGAAATTCACGAATGCTCTTCAACTGGAGCCTCTTAATTCCAATCGAATTTTCGTAGGCTTTAAAATATTTAATGTAGAAGATAAAAATAAGGAGTAATGTTTTAACAACTCAACTTCAAACAGATAAAAAGGAATCAAGGTAATTGATTTATTTGCACATCTATTTCTGTCAACTGGAACTGGCTACTTTCGCTTTTTCTTATCATGATACAGATAGTAGGCATTATAACTGGAATACGAAAAAAGAAGCTCACATTTATACCTTGATAATTTCTTATAGAACTGTACTTTTATTTCTAACACTTGGACGGAAAATATTAAATAATTTTATACAAGAAATTAAGCAATTTAACTCTCAGACGGTAGAAGTGTGGCAAAAAAAGAGGCTAATTTACTTACTTGAAAATAAATCGAAGTTCTAAGTGACAATGGACAGAAACATTTAGTTATGTTTGCTGGTCAGTTTGGAAATCTTGCTGTCGATTTATTTTTGAAGGAGTCAGTACAAGTACTGTGGAGATTAGACATCAATGTAGCTACTTAATTACTGATGAAAAATACCATGCCCGAGAAACTCTTTAACACTCAATTTCTCGATGTGGATTGATGATACAAACAACAGGGACACCACCCACGGAAAATGCTCTTCGCATTGATGTGGATGGGTCAATCAGAAATAGAGATGAAGCAGCATGCAGTGGTGTTATTTGCGATTGCCATGGAAATTGGATCCTTGGTTTGCACAAATTTGCTTCGGGTGTGGAGGTAGAAATCTTAGCCATCAAAATTGGACTCATGGTGGCAGAACAATTAGCTTGCAAGGAGGTGGGTATTTATACTGATTTTATTTGTGCATTCAATTTGTTGAAGAGATCTAGGAATCCAGCTTTGTCCTTACCAGAGTTACCGGCGGATACAAGAGATTTTATTTACACTATGCTGGTGGTGGAAATATATCATACCTTCAGAGATATCATCAAACGTGCTGGTTTTATGGCTAAGACAAGACATTGACAGAGTTCTAAGATCACACTGGTCATCTCTATTTCTGGCGGTTGTGCTGATTTTATTCGTGCAGATCAATTGCACTTAACGTTCTTGTGAGCATTAATAAAATTGACTCTGTTTTTGGCCAAAAAAAAAAAAAACAATGTTCCCGTGAGCTATTAGGGTGTTGCCTTGTTTTTTGTCTCTTTTTGGTTTTGTTGTAATTGTTAATTTTTAAGCTGAGCCTTGCCAACTTATTCAAAGAAAAGAAAAGAAAAGAAATCGAGGGACAGAGAATTTATAACATAAAGTACGTTGAAATTGAAAGGGTCAAGTAACATTTTGAAATTTGAACCCGAAGCATTCAAGAACATGCTAGGAAACCACGGCTGAGAGTAGCATGTTAATGATGAACACATTTCAAATGCTAAAATTGACAAGCTACCGACATTTTTCATAATTTATTTTACTGCGTGCTCGGGGCAGCTGCATGGCCTAGCAACAAACCCAAAATTAACCCAGAATAGAAAGGCCCTGTAACCGAAGCCCACCCGCGGAGACCAAAAGTGCCGTCAATAGGGGTAAGGTGGTAAACACGTCTTTCTATGACTCCGTGTCTCCTTCGAGAAAGTCACATACTTGTCCGATTGCCTTGAACCATCTTCTGCACTTGCCTTGTTTAGCTAGGGCTTCTTACAGTTTATGAATTTCTTTTTGGAGGGGGAAATATATCAAGGCGTCACATTGCATGAGCACGGCCCTTAGGATTGCTTTCCTTAACCATCATGGAAGCGTTTTGAGTCATGGCTGTGTGACATCAACATCCCTTCATTTTGGAGGCTTCTCCATAGGACTTCCCTTCTGCTGTTTTGCATCCTCCTTTCCCTCACCCGATCCATTCTTTGGAAGTTTATATTTTTCTTTTTTTTTACCCACGGGTCTGCAACTTTTTTCCTGTTTATTGATCTCCGTGGTTGAATGACTTCAAGCCAAATGGCCGTGTACGTAGATTCGACATATCAAACTTCAGTTCCTTGCGTGTTTCTATTAATGTCTCAATATTAGGTGGGAAACAATTAGATGTGTGAAAGGAAATTTCCTTTCTGAACTCAACAATTGGGGCATTTTGATATCCCTGACTAGCTGATACCCTGTTTCCTGGCTTGGAGATACTAGGAGTTTCGTAAAGAGCTTGCGACCTCGAGCGCTGGGCAGTACCTGACGGCTGACGGTAGTCGTCCTTCTCTACTAAAATTTCTCTCTTTCCTGCTGTATTTTCTATCAAACAAATTTTCTCTTTTTCAAGTATATGATGTCTTTGAAGATGTAATCAAAGACCACGGTGAGGTCTCTTCAACGTGACAATCCCTACTGTATCATGATTCCTATCTTATCATAATTTTTGTCAATAACAACTTCCCTTGGCCAGAAGGTCTTTCAATGATCTTCCAATGGAAGTGAGCTAGAGTGGAATGACATTGCTGTCATGTTTTTATGCCATTTTGGCCTTTGGAAAGTGATATATAGAAGTGTAACATTAAACACAAACGGCAACTTAAGTGCTTAACACATAATGTGCTACTGAACATGTAACTTCACCGTGAATCTTGCTACCCGACATTTTACTTGCGGCCACGGACCCCTTAATCATTACTATGTATTGTTGGCTGATGTGTTAAATGAATAAGATTTAAGGTTTTTTATTTGTGAGGTCTGTCATTTTCGGCCGGTGACGTGCTCCTCTTGCCATCGACCCAAGCTTGTGATACCTTTCACAAAAGATATTTTATTTGTAGGCTTCATTGGCCTTAGAACTTAATGTAGATTCACCCCAAGGATATGCCAGGTGTCCTGAATGATTGAAGCATGCGCCAAAGAAATACAACTTTTGTTGGTATGGATATGGTTACTAACAACAATAATATAAGTGCCGTAAAATGTGTCACGAACCACAGCACTTCATAGAGAAATACAATCAGTAGTATGATTATCATTAATATAATATTTAATATCGGTGCTAAATAATTTGTGACCCCATCTTCATAATCAAACACACAACAGCAGCACGAAAACGAACGCCAATTTCACCTACTCTCTTGTTTTAGTATTGGGAAAATAACAAGCAAGGACCTTATTAGTAAATTAATATCAATTAAGGATCAATTGACTTTAAAATTGCAAGACAATCACTTAATCTTTGATTGATATTAATTTGTGAGATCAAAAGATCAAACTATCCTCAAATTAAAAAAAAAAAAAAAAAACCCCATTGTTGCCGATGTCGGCCATCGGAACTCTATCAACAGCAAGATTGCCGACGATCGATCATTGGAGCTCCAATTTTGGCGACATTTTTATTCAAAAAATAATTGGTTTAGGTGGCTAAGGGATAATATGAGCTTAATTGTATGTGTTAATTCTTTCACAATAAGTACACATTTACATTTTTACAACAATTCATTCAAAATTAACAATCTATTTTGGTTTTAAGAAGTTAAAAAAACTGATAAGATGAGTTTAATTGTATGTATTAGTTTTTCATTAATAAGTATCTGTTCAGATTTTGTCAACATTTTATTCATGATTAATAATAGTACATTTGAATTTTTAACAAGTAAAATGTATGAAATTTTAAAGTTCTTAATTTATAATTATTCATGTCAAATTAATAAGTAACACTTATAAAATAACAAATTTTATTTAAAAGTTAATAACACACCGTTATATTATAACATGAAAGTAGTTGTAAATTTAATTTATTACTTCTATTTTTTTCTATATATGATTAAAGGATTTGTTAGCCACATGTTTTTTAAGTGATTAAGAGTAATAAAATTAAACCTTTGACCACCTAAACTAATTATTTGATGAATAAAGATATTGCCAGTGTCAGAGCTCCTCAGCAATCGACTGTCAGGAGGGGTCTAGTGATGGATGCCAACAATAGTGGGGTTTTTAAAAAAAAAAAAATATTTGAGAGGCAATTTAGTCTTTTGACTTCACAATTAATATCAATCAAAAATTAATTAACTATATTACAATTTTAAAGTCAACAATGATATTAATTTACTGCTTAAGTCCTTAATTGCTATTTCTCTTTTAGTATTTAATGATTGTCCAACTCTTGTGAAGGAAATTAAAAGCAGTTACTTGCCAAGTCACCAATCAGCTTCATTTAGCCTTTGATTTTCCATCATACAAACAACGTAGCTGAAGCAATCGAGAAGCAACAAGCTTGAAGCTCAGCCATATGGTATTAAATCCGAATCTTTGGCAATCGCAATGCGATAAATGAGAGAATTCAATCTCCAACGAAAGAAGAATCTTGTGTCCCAGGGGACAAGGCAAAAACAGAGTACACGTGTTCCAGGGTTGAGAAAGATAATTAAGTACGAGCAAAGATAGCGCCCGGTTGAAAAGTTACCAGTAACCTGATCCCAGAATTCTAATCGTGATCGTAATTGTAAATAGTCCTAAAAAGGTCAATCGCCATTGCCAATTACAAAAAACCGTAAAGACAGCACCCTTTCAACTCCGTGCAATCAAGTTAACTAGGGAGGCAAAACATACTCACTCAAGCCGCCATCCTTGGTGAACCGATCAAAATTGAACTTCCTCTGCAAGAATTGTTTTTTGTTTCAATGCCATAATTAATCAATCAAGGAAACCTGTTTTGCGCCATATAGCATTCCGCACCTGTCTAAGATCCCTCCCTTTGAGGGTTCTTCCGATCCCTTCCAGCACCGAGGAAGTGGTCTTCGGCGACACTCCAGAACCCCTCGCGACGATTTCGTGGGGCGGTAACATCTCATCATCGTCTTCAATATCGTCGTCCACTAAAGCCAGCTCGTCGTTCTTCCTCCTGGGCGTGGTTTTAGACGACAAGATCGGAACTTTCATCGGAGCCGACTGTTGAAATTTCCTGGACGGCAAGGACTGCGAGAAGTATTCCGTGTCTTGAGGCCCCTGACCTGGCGGTCTAGGTATCGAGGGAACCATCCTCGAAGACGTCGAAGTGATGGTGGGCTTTCGACACAATATGGGCTGATCACCGGAGCGGAAAGCGGGTTCCGATAGCACCGCGAGGATGCCGGAGTTCTGGGGGCAAGATATGCTCGGCTGGTTGGCTTTAGAGGGCGGCAGGGGCTGATGAAAGCGTTGATTTTCTGTTTCAGGGGCATCGCCAGACCAAAAAAGCTCAGCTTCGTTGAGCTCGTCCCCAGCGCTGACGACAGAGGGCGGGGAGAAGGTGAAAAGTCCGAGCAAACGATCGGAGGAGGAAGACGATCGGCGGTGGCGAGATGCAGTGGGGTCCATGGAAGTGGGTGGCTAAAAAAGGCTCAGAGACTGAGAGAGGAGAGTGAGTGAAAAAGAAGAAAGAATAAGAGGGTGATGTGTACTAGGGACTTCAAAAAAGAGGATTTAATAAGATATGGTGGTGCCTGGTGGAGCGAGGCCCCATTAGAGAGTCCATCAAGGTCGCACTCATTCCTGACGTGGCCGAAGAATTGGGTTTCGTTTCCTTTGCGTGCGGACCCATTATTTGTGGCTTAAAATCATGGCGTTTGAATTTTTAACATGCTGATGAGTAGCAGTTCCGAGAATCTTATAATGTTAAATAAATTGTTCGATTTGGCCTATAGAGAAGATGAAATATGTTAGTATATTCCATCGAGAGCAAAGCTCGTACACGCCCATGGAAACTTCCTCATGTCTTCTTGCCCCTCACCGGTTCGACTGAGTTGAGGGGAGAAGTTGAATTTCAATGAGGAAGGAATATTAATAGTTTCTTTTTTTTTTTTTAAAGATGAAAGAAAACATAGTTGAAATGCATCATTCCTTCCAAAATAGCCAGTTTAAAAATTGAGGGATTTTTCAATTTCTCATACTGGAAAGGCCCAAGACCCCCACAGCTAAGGGGTTGAAGGTCGGGGGGCATTGATACTCCAGTTTTTATCAGTGTGTATTTGATTTTCAATTTATTAAAAATTTATTTAATAAAAATTTATTTGGTAAAAGTCAATAGTTGGTGTAACAAAATTTATATTTAGATACATTTGTTTTACAAATTAATTTGATATATTGAAAGTTATTTGGTTTATGATAGTGACAAATGTTTTTAAATATACAATTATCAAAAAGAACATTGATTTATAATGATTTGTAATGATTTGTAATTTTTATTATACAAATATAATATATTTAAAATATTTTAAAAATGTGATAAAGATTTTAAATAACATAAATTTTGATCTATAAATGCTAAAAATTTGATCTCTAGTTATTTATATTTTTTAACTTATAATTTTAGAAAATGTGATAAAAATTTGTAATTTTTATTATACATTAATGCTAAAAATTAACATGATTAATTATTCAATTTATAATGCTAAAAACTTGATACCTATATTTTTAATGAATTAAATATTTTTAAAATAAAAGAATAAAAGATTAAACTTAGTACGGTATGATCAAATAACATCCTACTTTTTAAATTTATTTTTTAAAAATTTTAAATAGTTACATTTCAAAAATTTACTTTCAGCTACAATTTGAATGTATTTTCAAAATGTGTTTTCCTATAAAATATTTTACCAAAACAACATTTGAACTTCTTGAAAGTAAAATTTTATTTTATGAATGTGAAAATCAAAAAAACCAAACGAACCCTTAACCTATCCAAGCTGGTATCATATTCGATATCAACACCTGTTGATATATTTTTTTAAATATAAATCTATAAAGTATTACAATTTTTTAATTAAAAAATTTAGTATTTAATATTTTTAGATTGTAGGTCAATACTACAAAACCCAATACTTCAATATTTTTTTAAAAAATTAAATTTTATTGATGACTGCGGTATTAGTCTTTTCATTTCTAAAACTTTTTGTGATATGCTTTTAAAATAAAAGGAATAATTGCGCGAATAAGATAACTTTGATTGTACTGTATTTTTTTTTTTTTTTTTTGCGAATGACGATTAAAAAGTAAGCCATTAGATATAGATATATTAGAAATATAATTAATGATTATGTGTTGTTTGGTGTTATTATTAAAGGATATAAATAGGGAGAATTTTAATTAAAGAGTATGATAGAGATTTAACTATTGGTGGGTCCAAAAAATTTTAAAATTTCAATTTAATTTAAGAAAGAAAAGTCAAACTAATTTTTATGGTAAAAAAATTAAAATATCATTCACTTGAGTCACTAGTTATTAATTTTTTTACTTCACTTATTAATTTATTAATATGAGTTGTAAATTATATGAGTTAATATATCAATAATTATATAAAACTTAACATCAGTTGTTCAACTATAAGCAACAATATCAGTTATTAAATTATTGACCATACTTATTAATTTACTAATATTAATTTTAAATTACTAATAGGTCTTGTAATTTACTAATATGACTTATAAAGTAATGACATATCTTGTAATTTATAACTCATGTTAGCAAATTAACTAACAAAGTAAGAAAATTAATAATTAATGTTCCTAATTGTCTAACAAACAAACGTAATTTACAAATGATATTAGTATATTAACAAATGAAGTAAGAAAATTAACAACTAATAATTTTATATAATAAATAAAAAGTATTTTATTTTTTTTATTGTAGGAATTAGTTTGACTTTTCTCCCATATATTGAATTAAAATTTCAAAAAAAATTTAGATCCAGCAATTAAGTTTCTACCGTGATCATTAGCTAAAATTCTCCCATGTAAATATGTTATTTTGGATATTTCTTCAATTGAAAATATAATTTTAATGTGTTTTATGTAATTTTTATGAATGCATGTGTGTACATCCTAGACATATTAAAATAAAAATATTGGTGTATCGGATAAATGTCATATTCGACTCACATATTATAACTGTGAATCATATTCAAGGATTATATTTTCCTTTACATATACTTTAATTTTTTTTAAAAAAAGTGATAACCCATCTTTCCCTAAATTAAGATAATGGCCATTTTTAAATTTACCTTTAATATAAAAGATAAAACTATCCTTAAACATCAAAATACTTTGATCTCCCTTCTCTCACATCGATTTTGCTTTCACTCACCTGAAGATGTGAAGACGACACTACACTCTTAGTCATGATGGTGAAGAAACTGATAGTAGACAATGAAACAGCTCACGTTGATGGATAAATGTAGTTAGAGATTCAGCCAGGAGACCACAAGAACGTGAAGTGAGGCAAATTGAAAGCTACAGATTCAAGTTGAAAAATCATGAATGCGAGGTGATGAAGTTTGAAATTGCAACTTTTACACAAAGTTATACTAAAGCTGCAGATTCAAGGTGAGGAAGTCTGATCAAACTTTGTTACAAAAGCTAGAGTTCAAGCGAGGGTTTCTCAGATATTTTGAAAAAATGATTATGTATTTTTTGTGTTACTGATCTACGACACTGCATAATTGTATATCAATTATAAATAAATGTATGTCTGATTATCTGATTATGTTAATCTACAATAGTATATCAATGATATACTATACTATTATATGTCACTAATATAAAAACCATATCAGCGAAAACTTACTAATTTATTTATGATTGATATACAATCATACATCAATGATATAATATTGCAAATTAATAATGGAGTTTCCTTTTTAATGTCTAATATCCTGTTCATAATATCTGAGAAAAACAGAGAAGGAGAGAGAGGAAAAGCTCTGCGATGAAGATGATAATCCAGTCAAATTAAATCAAAAATTCTGATAAAAAAGCACTGTCCGAGAAATGAATATGATGATGCAAGAAAATCATGTCCAAAAATGTGATGAAAAAAATATTTAGAGATGATAAATCAAAGAGGGAACATGCACAATATGATTTTTGATGATGAAAATGAAAGATCCAATTAGTTAAAGATTAGTTAAATCAAATATATTTTGTTTTAATAATAAAACTTATTTTAAGGATAAAAAAGAAAAACATATTTAATTAATTTTATGAATGTGTCATATTTTAAAATATTTAAAAACATCATTCATAATTTATGATAGTTATATGTTTTAAAATAATTGAGCTAATTTTCTCTTTTATTAAATCAAACATTGATAGTGCGATCGAGTAGTTTGGCTCGGATTTTCATGCCACGCTAAGGATAGATTGGCTCACGTGTTTGAGGCATAATATCAATTGTTATGACCTACTTTGCTTGTGCAAGTGAAGATATAGTATATTGGAACCTGAATATTTACACCCGTTTATTGTACCTCTCCTCTAAATCCAACGAATCTGTGCCATTGGTTTAGGATAAAAAGTTTTGAAAAGAATATCAAATTAATATTAATTATAACTGGTCTAGCTCAATAACAATTTAATTTTTATCCTTAAATCAATGGATGTAGGGAGAAAGCTAATATGAAGACATTTAGATTCCATGGTGTCTGTTGGTGCTCCGCCTTTCCACCGCGCCCCACCTACTACAAGAGGTGCCTAACTGCCTATCCCCCAGTTTTTTTTTTTTTTTTTTTGCTTGTTTGTAATAGAAAAAACAAATTAATACTGTTATTTACTGTATTTCTTTTGTTTTGTTAGGATTTTTAGCCTCGCATCAATTCGTATTTATTTTGTTTTGAAATATGCTTTGGATTGGATCCTGTGTGTGTGTGTGTGTGTGTGGGTGACGTTGTGCCTGAATAATTTCTCCACGCCAGACGGGCACCAAAACTGTTAGGATATTTTTGAATTGAAAAAATTTAATTCGTTCCTCGCAGTCACGACAACTTTTTCTACGCGCACTCGCTGGGAAACAAACCGATCACAGAAAAAATTAAGAGTAAAAATGTCCTTTATATATATATATATATATTATTTAAATTTAGTTGGAGAGCTATTTGCTCTCAATACTCAAGAAAAATATCCCTTTACATTAAAAATTTTTAATAACTTTTTCAGAATTCACTTTCTTTGATTTGGATCTAAATTAAATAATAAAATTGAGAGCCTTTTGCTGGAAGTTTGGACTCGCGGCATTGCGTGTCTTCTCCAACCTTTTTTGTGAGGAGTCAATCTTCGTGCCTGTTTGAATTTTAATTGAATATAATAGATTATAAAAATAATTAATTAAATAATATATTTTAATCATAATTAATTATATTATAATGTAATATATTTAGATACTGGTTTTTTAAAATTGATCTTGAAAGAATTGAAGATATTTAAATAATTTAATCAGAATTAATTTTTAATTATATAAATTACTATATAATTTAATGTTTAAATATCAAATATCAATTTTTTGAAGATATAAAGTTTAAATTTTATTAAAAAAAGAGAAAAGAAAAGAGTTTGGTTTTATTTTTATTAAATTATGTGTTTTTTTTATAATTTTTGCTTGGGCCTGTCCTTATAATTTTTCCCAACATGTTGGACAAGCTTTTCCACTAAATCTTTGGTTCTCAGCTTTCGAAAATAATTGATTTTTGATCCAAAAATTGATTCTCCAAA